GAAGTTGTTTGTTAAACTGGCTCCCCTCACAGACCAGCTCCCTCCTGGCACCCCGTGCTGCTGCCTCTGATAGAAAGGCAGCAGAACGGAGTGGCAGGGGGCTCCCCAGGAGTGGGGCTGGAGTGCACTGCCTGCCAGCCCCGCCCCCGGGACTATAGAATAGTCGACTAAGCGATAAGAATTCATGAGGTTAATCAACTGTTCAATTAACTGATATTTAACATTCCTAGTCTGCACTGGGAAGTTACTGAGCTGTAAATCAGCCTCTGGCACTGTAACTTTCGAGGTGTCCACACTGGCAAGGCACTTAGTGCGCACGAGCTCAAGAGCTGCTGAGCTCTAGGCAAATCACCCCAGCGAGAGGTGTAGAGCTTACTGAGCTCTGGACACAGCGCTAGGGTGCCACTGTGGGCACCACGGGGTAGTACTGCATCATGATTGGCCTCCGGCACCCTTCCCACAATGCCTTTTCTTGTCTCTCTGGTCATCTGTTTGAACTCTATGGCCCTGCTCTCAACCTTCCAACCTGCCCTTTTTGAAATGTGAAAGTCCCCTTCCTGTTTGCTCGGCAACACGTGGTGTGTTCTCAGTGCATCTTTCCAGCTGGCCAAACCTGCTCTAGGCACCAGGAGATCCCCTGCTTGGAGCCGAGCCGAGGTGCTGGACCTCATCAGTGTTTGGGGAGCAGAGGCGGTCCAGTCCCAGCTGCGATCAAGCTGTGGGAATTATGATACCTACGGGCACATCTCAAGATGCATGACCGAATGGGCCCATGACTGGGACGCACCGCAGTGCAGGGTCAAAGGGAAGGAGCTGTGAAATGCCTATTACAAGGCGTGGGAAGCCAACCACAGCTCCAGTGCTGCGACCATGACCTGCAGGTACTACAAAGAGCTGGATGCGATACTTGGAGGTGACTTCGGGGCTCAGGGGCCATCCATCAATGGACCGAGCCATTAGGAGGAAGTTGTGGCTGATGGTGATGGGGAGGAGGACCCAAAGAGGCATCCATGGAGACTTGCAATTAGCAGCTGTTTTGCACCCCTGGTAAGGCAAGCCAGTCGCAGCCCCCAGAGGCTGTGAGTGATCCACCTAGAGCGGGAGTTGGGTGTCGGGAGACACTCAAGTGAGTTGCCGGGAGCGGGAGGGTTACAGCAGGAAGGCTGGGTTCTGTCTCTCATGCAGCTGCTGTGCCACACATCTCTGCACATTTGCTGGCAAAGCAAATAGGGTTTTTCTCCCCGAAGGCTGCCATTCCCTCATGACTGTGCCATCAGCAGGGGGCAGAGAACCATCGCCACAGAAAGACAAGCCACGGATGGTCGCGGACAGATCTTGCGGTTGAGTAAAAGACCCTCCTTTGCTTCCCTGCTCACCCGAGGCAGCAAAATGTCTTCCAGGATGAACACAGTAATGAGTGGCTATTACTAACTGCTGGGCCTTCCCACGGTGCTCTCCCCAAGTTACACTCGCCCAGAGCACAATACGGCCATGCGTGAATGAAATCCCCTGCTCCCTGCCATGAATGAGAATCCCTGCCCTGCTGCACCAAGGATGCGACCGATGGGCCTGCACGCTTCCATCAACACAAGTCCAGTGGTCGCCTTTCCCACTCCAAGCTGATTGGCGCCAAGTGGAAGCTGTCTGGAGTGGCCAGCTTTTCCAGTGTGATCGCCACATGCTTCTTCGCCCCGCTCTCACTCACCTGTCTGCACCGCAGGGTGGGGGCGAGCTCAGCACACAGTCCCAGGGAAGTGGCTTTCCTCATCCAAAGCTCTGTGGCCACTGCTCATCATCCCAGGCTCGCATGATGATGTGATCCCACCACTCAGTGCTTGTTTCCTGAGCCCAAAAGCGGCGCTCCACTGTGGTCAGCCTCTCCGCGAATGCCACAAGACCGCTCGTGTCATACGTGTCATGCCGTTCGTGACATGTTAGTGAGACCTGTCAGCATTTTTGTCAACAGATGCGGATCCGTTTCCGCAGACCGAGGAGGCAGGGCACAGAGCACAAATGCCATTGGAAGATGGTGCCAAATGCAGATGGAAGTGCCGGGGCAGCTGGGATGTGAAGTGATGCACCATGCGACATTAGCACAGGGCCCAGGATATCCTGTGCCTCCCTTCCGCCTTCCCACAAACCCCTGCGGCAGAAGAGGAAGAGGTGCTCCATGGGATCGCTGCCCATAGGGCTCTGCTCTGAAAGCCACTGCAAGAGCCGCAAGTGGCGGCTGACAGAGTGGACAGCCAGGAGCGTTTTCGCCGCTGCGCTCTGTGAGCAGCGCTGTAACTTCCAGCCCGTTCTGTCTGCCAGTGTAGCCACGGCCAGTGCCAGGAAAGTATTAGTAGCTCAGCTCGAACGGCCAAGTAATCACTTGCAACAAGAACGTGTTCAAAGACAGCACCTGAGTGGGCTTGGAACCCGCCTTCTGCCTCTCTGAGGAAAACTAGTACATGCTGGGAAGCCCCCCAGCAAGCAGGGTGGGAGCCAGTTTGCCAGAACAAGGTTGTGAGGACGGGAGGGTGGAGTGAGTCCTCTGCAAAAGAAGAACTGCACAGGGAGGGCTGGGGAAATCAACACAACAGTGAACTGGAAGGCAAAGTGGCCAAGGACGCCTGCTGCAACATGCACATTATATTTTAGAATCTATACCAAGAGTGGGCAAACTGTGGCCGGCAGACCACACCAGCCCCCTGAGTGCCTTTTCCTCCGGCCCCCGACTGCCTGCCAGGGAGCATGGTCAGGGACTTGCTCCCCTCCAACTCTGCTTGCCAGCTGGAACACTAGGTGGGGGAGTCAGAGCTGTTGGCAGCATGGGAATGTTCATTTTTTGAGGGCTCCCCAATTCGCTGGAGCTCTGGGCATGCCCCTTTGGTCCAATGGCTAATCCATTGGGAGGAGGGCAGGTCTGCCTACTCAGTTGTGCCTACACAATCTGCCTACTCAGTTGTGGCCTGCAGGTATAAGTTCTGCCCAGCCCTGTTCCAGGTGTTCTGGGTGCGAGGCAGGGCACAGAAGCATTCTGCCCTGTCCTCCAGCACAGAAGCACACTGCCCTACCCCCCGCAAGTGAGCCAGGCTTCCCCTGCCCGCATAAGGGTCATGCCCTTCCCCCTGCCCCAAACAGAGGCCTGGGGTTCTCTCAAGAAAGTGGCCATCTTCTGCTTCCCCAGCCAAGGTGCCCACTTGACTCCTTCAGGCAAAGGGCTCGCTCTGCCCTGCAGAATGTGCACCAGGAAAGCTCTGTCCTTGTCCAACCCAGCTTCTGAGCAGACAACACAAGAGCAAGGAGCTGCTGCTTAATATTCTGCTACTGTTCTCAGTGAGGATCCTGGGCAGACTGTCTGCATCCAAGGCAGACCTCACCTCCGTCCTGTGAGTGCAGCAGCTAAACAAGGTCAGAGCTGGTCTGTCTGCCTCTGCTGCTTAGCCACTGCGTCACTGCAGCAGGACCAGCTTAGAAGGGGCATCGCTCCTGCACAGCCAGAGCATCACTGCGCCAGGACCAGGGTACAGAAGGGCTGTGCTTCTGTTTTGCCACAGCACCACTGCAGAAGGGCCAGCTCAGAGCAACGCTGCATGTGCCCGCGACAACCTTGGTGCAGCCTGACCCGCTTGGAGCAGTGCCTCTCTCCTGCATGCCCACCGTGTCATTCTCTGCTCAGAATGGGGCTTTCCTCCTGAATGCCTGCAGCAATAGAGTCGTTCGGAGCAATTCAGCACATCAGGCAACCCAGCAAAGTCTGCTAGGAGCAATACTTCTCTCCCCTGCATCACTAGCCACAAGCCCAGTCCTGGGCTATCATTTCTCCAGTCAGCTGGAAGGGTGTACGCAGCTGTCTGAGGTCTCCCTCGCCAAGCCGGACGCTGTTCTCAGTCACAGCCATTGTGCCGCGTATGTTTTGACACAAGCCTCAGTCTCATTGCAGGAACCTCTTTTCACAGCATTTGCCAAAGGACCTGGAAACAAAGGATGGGTGAGCACTTTTATCTTAATTTCAAACCCACTTCAATAGCATGAGCCCAAAAGTTTGACTCGCATGTTAACCTGTTCACATTGCACTAAGAGAAGACCCTGCAGCAAAGGAGAAGGGAAAGGAAGAGAAAGCCAGTGAAAAAAGGAGGATGGAATAGAGAAAAATCCAATCTGAAAAGTAAGACGCGAGAGCAGAGAAAGGGAACAAGAGAAAAAACAAACCTAAAGGAAACTAAACCCAGCCTGGACAATGGCCTCATTGTGGGGTAGTCCTAAGAGATAACATAGGCTTTCCTTTAGCTAGAAAGAGAGGCTGGTTTTTGTAACCAAGCTCTTCTGGCAGGGGCAGAGGGTTTAAATGAGAGGAGAAAAAGTTAGGAGGACTCACACTAGAACCCGCAGACACTGCACCACAGATTAGCAAAACCTTGGCCGTGCCATTCCCTGTGAAGACCCAGTGGCGTCAGCTCAGAGGGTGTCTCTTCACTTAGGGCTCGGACCTGAACTCGCTCAAGAGTGAGAGTTTTGCTACTGATTTAAAATGGGAGCTTAGTGCAAAGTAAATCTAAAAGAAAACACCGTGCCCCCAAGAAGCGAGGGGCACCCTTCCCTTGCTGTGATTGCCATGGTGAGCAGTGAGCTTGGTTGGGATTTCTACTACCAGTTGGACCTCCTTGGTCTGGCACCTCGGGATCTGAAGGGTCCCAACGGAGGGAGTTTGCTGGACCAGGGGAAGTCAAGCCTCTGGCTCTTCCAGGGCTCCCCTCCTGGCCAGTGGCCTGGCTAGTGCACTGCTCCCAGCCATTGGTGGGGGCTCTCCACTCCCAGCTGCCACCCTCCTCCAGCCCATGGAGCTCCCTTCCCCTAGCTGGTGGGGCTCCCTGCCCTCGGCCAACAGCAGCTCCACTCCTCCAGCCACAGAGTCTCTCTGCTCCCAGCCAGTAATGGATCCATACTCCCAACCAAGGGCGGCCCGTGACTATAGGCCGACTCGGCGGTCGCCTAGGGCGCCGCCTTCAACAGGGCGCCCAATGATGATGTCACCCCATTGACGGCCGTGCAGACGGGGGCCAGGGCCGGATTGCAGCTGTAAGGTGCACAGCGCGCTGGGGGGCGGGGCCACGCATGTGTCGTGTGCCCGCTGCCTGGGGGGGCGGAAGGG